TTTTTCAGGATGCTTCTAATATAAGCCCTCCCCGAAAAATAAGACCTAGTTAAGTGAAAGCCCAGCATCCACCATTGGGCAGCAACCCAAAGAAGATCAGCCCAGCATCCACCATTGGGCAGCAACCCGAAGAAGATCACGTGACTGTATTTGAATAAACATACATTGTATTTGAAAAAAATGAAGCATCCCCTGAAAATAAGCCCTAGTGCATTTTTGGAGCAAAAATTAATATAAGACCCTGTCTTATTTCCAGGGAAACGATGGATGGAGAATATAAGACCCTGTCTTATTTCCAGGGAAGCGATGGAGGGAGGGAGGGAGGAAGGGACGGACGGATGGACAGACGGATGGATGGATAGATTATTCTAGGCAATATTCTCTCCTATCCCTATCTGATATTCTTTGGTTGTCTCCTCTCCACCTCTCCTCTTGCTTAGCTTCCAAAATCAGGCAAGACTAAATACATTCACGGGGATGGTATAGTCTGCACACTGGCAAGGTGGTATAGCTTTACCTGTGTGTAATGAGTACACATTGCTCCTGAGCATCTCTCTGGACACCATGGGTTGCATTCATGAGGATAGGGATAGGTATAATCTTTCACTTCATCATACCATGACTGGACATGGAAAGCTGGAGCGCGGTACCTAAAGAAAACAGAAGCATATTCTGGTTTGACACAGAATACTGAAAAGAACAGGTAACGGAGGAAAAGGAAGGTGTCTCCTATTATTTTTATCAAGTTTCTCTCCCTCAGCGCCAAGCAGCCACAACTCAAAGATTGTAATAGCCTTATGGGATGAGACCGAAGACCAACGTCAGCTTCCTGTTCCCCACAAGATGCAAACAGATGCTTCAGGAAAACACACAAATTTTTTTTGAGGGGAGTAGTTTTTCCCACTGTTGCCCCCCAGCTGATGGTAGCCTGGTTTTGGAGATTCTATAGCCATTAGGGTGGCTAGATAGCTCAGTGAGTTAAGTATCTGGCTGTGGAGCCAGAGGTTAGGAGTTCAATTCTCAGATAAGAGGAGATGCTCCCCGGAAAGGAGCCAGAAAAGAATGGTAGACTACATCTTAGCCATCTCTACCTAGAAAATCCTGAAAAGAAGGGTCTCCATAAGTCAGAACTGATCTGACAGCACACAAAAGAAAGAAAGAAAAAAGGATCAAGCAGGAACCTAGCCCTCATGAATGCACACACACAAAAAAAATCTGTTTATGCTCGCTTGAATTTCAGAAACCAGAGGATTGTGGCTGAACAAAATTCTGAGTTTTCGAAGGTGGAACTAGCAGGATACACAGTGCTTGTCTGTTCTCTCCACGAATGGCGAAACCTGAATAAATTATGTAAATCAATAAAAAATGGCCAAAGGATTGGGGGGGAAATCATATAAGCATGAAGAATTTGTGCAGTATCTGGAGAGTGTGCGGATAGTTTCTTTCAGTGTTTTGAATACAGGCTAAATAAGTGCCTGTGTATTGCTATGGAAAATTAAGGTTGCATTTTATGTGTGCTCTGCAATTTCATACTTTGAATTTTATTTTTAAGTTTTATTTTGGGATTGAAGAGCAGCTCATCATCAAAGACCAGGCCTTAAGCTTCTCGTGGCTCTCTCATTTCAGGGTATTTGAGAAGCTTCGTGCTCAGCTTGCTGTTCCCCGGGATTCCAGAGAAAAAGATCAAGGCGCTAGTCCTTGTGATGTCCCAGGGCCAGCAAGCATTGTCATGGTGGTGGGAGAGTCCCTCCCAAGCCTTGTGCAGCTGCAACAGGTTTTCGGCAAGCGGGTGGTTCCTGAAAGAAGCCACTGGTGCTCTGCGCTTTGCTTTGATGCCAGTGGCCGAAAGAGGCCAATGCTGGCAGACCAGAAAGCCAAGATCAATGGGAGGGGATCTAAAGAGGAAGCCCTCGGGCACCCAGGCTCCATGGAGAGCAAATGGCGAAAGAGCACTCCCCTGGGAGGACCTGCTTTGGGGGCTAGAATTCAGGTGTCCCAAATCGAATCTTCACCAAACCTGGAGGGAGTGGGAAGAAGCATCAGCCCAAGAGTCACTACAAATTTGGCAAAGATTGGATATGGGATGTCTGAGTTATAGCCCATGTACCAACCGCCAACACTGATAGTAGTTCGGCATTTTGTTTCATTCTGGAAAGCTGTATTTCCCTGAAGCACCCTGAAATAAACCACACAATGGCCCAATTTGTGTGGGGGGGGGGGCGGTTACTTTATGGTTCGTTTTGTGCCTATCTCTAGTTATAAACTCAAAAGGGTCCTAAACACCACAAGTGATAAGCTTTACTCCAGTGCTGTACCTACATGAATGTTTGTATGACTGTTGTGAAACTGTTTGGTTTGGTATGTTGAAATGTGAAGAAGGAAGGAAGGAAGGAAGGAAGGAAGGAGCTGATGATGGATAGAAGGGAGGAAGTCATCTCACACTGCAAAAATAAAATGTTTTTTCATCCAATGCTGCTCACTCTATCTGGAGCCCCACAGAAGGACAACAATTCCTTGAGGTCTGAGATGGTTCTCTGACACCTACACACACTTTTTCACAACTAAGGGGGAAAAGTACGCCTTCTGCACACAAAAAAGGGGGGGTTTCTCTCTCTCCCAGCCTGTCCACTGGGGTTTTTGCCTTCATTGTTGTTATTGCTCTTAGATTTCCATTTGGGCGGTGTTGTGACATGGGCGATATAACCCCTGGGTTGAAACTGTGTCTTGGAGCTCGGCCCAAATGCCAGTTAAGGTGTGTTGCTGGCCAGTTCTTCCCATTAAAAGCTGGCGAAAACAGGCAGCTGGATAAACAAGCCCTGTTTCTTATCCTGGCTGAAAGCTGAGGAAGAAATGTTCAATCCGTATTATATAAAGCACCCTCCTGAACCCACATTATGTGCTTATAAGTGGGGGAATGGATACAAAACAGTTTGTTCTAGTAGAGAGGAAGATTCAAGCTATACCGGGAATGACAAAAAGAGAGAGAGAGAGAGAAGATTAAGCAGCAATTTGAACATAACATTCAGACACCAAATATGGTTTCTCAATGCAATACCCTGGCTTCTGTTTTGCTACTGAGATTCCAGAGGGCCTTATGTTCTTCCAGTGACATCTGCGTCATTTCCTGGTAGCTGCATTAACCATAGCTTAGGAAATCACTTTGCAAAAGCATTTTATCATCTTTTTTCCCCCCAACACTTCACAAAAAGCAATTCACTCTAAACAAATTTAGTTACTTTTTAATACTACTTGCTACATTTGCTGTTTTTCTTTTAAGGATTGATTGGAGAACAGAGTTGAAACATCAAACCTTCTTGTCAAAATGCTTTTGATTAAAAAGCTGTTTTTCTTTTAAGGATTGATTGGAGAATAGAGTTGAAACATCAGACCTTCTTCTCAAAATGCTTTTGATTAAAAAGAAAAGCTAACTTTCAAAATATAACTACAGAAGTTCATTTACTGCATCGTACAACGCCAGCCTCCAAAAG